GGATAGTACAGCCATCGATCATGTAATCAAATGGAGGCTGGGAAGAGGATCGTCTGGAGAAACGGACATGATTGGTCTTGCTGGTATTGAAAGCAAGATCCCAATCCTTACTCCACTGAAGAGCACTTTCTAGGCTGTCTTGAAGAAGGGAGCAGTCTCTAGTAGTAGAAATAGTCTGGAGACATTTAGAGTCATCTGCAAATAGTAATATGTCGGAAGGAACACTAAGGGTTGATAGGTCATTAATGTACATTAGAAATAGTAGGGGCCCAAGAACGCTCCCCTGAGGAACCCCACTCAAGACCTTTAAGAAACTGGATGTAGTACCATTAACAACTACACACTGACGCCTCTCAGATAAATAGACATGAAGCCAGTCCCATAGAGGACCCACAATACCAGACTTCCACAATTTCAGCAGAAGCTTGTTATGGGGGACGGAATCGAATGCCTTCCGGAAGTCTAGGTAGATGCAGTCAACACAGCTCTTATTGTCCAAGGCTTCGTACACATTTGCCATCATAGTTAACATTTGTTGGACAGTAGATCGTGAAGGTAAAAACCCGTATTGATTAGAGGATATTGACTCACCTAGTAACACTATAAGCCTGTTATAGACAATTCTCTCCAGAACTTTCGAAATGACTGGGAGTAATGCAATGGGACGATAGTTTAGGCCAGATGTCCTATCCTTAGACTTGAAAATAGGCTTGATAATGATCATATTATCTTACATGATGTCAGGAAGGCTTCTAGTGCTTCCTTAAGTTCTGCTTTCTTATATTTTGACAATATCTGGTCCAGAAGGTCTTGGTAGCCCTTTCCATTAGCCAAGCCACCAGACATCTTGCTGTGAACATAGGCAGCCATTTTGACTCAAAGCCTCGCCCAGTATCTAAATTTAACCCCAAATCTCCAGCAGACTGAGCAGTTACTCAGCAGCACAGCAACACACCCGGTTGTTGTGGTATTTAACGAGGTCTCACTGTTGTGGACTTGTGATATCGAGGCCATTTTAATCATTTAAAGGCTATGTCAACTGGTAAGACTAAATCTATTGGTTGGGCTCCTGAATGCAATTTCTATTTTTTAGGTGATCATACCAACGTTAAAACTGTCTTCTACCTCGTTCTCTTATGTATGGTTTTTGGAGTGGCTGTCATGTCTTACAGAGGATTGGGGAGACCAAATTATGTCACTTCTCTTAGTTCTGGCACTGATTTGGTCCAGGTGGCAATAAACCCTCTGTCAATAGCAAATGTCAATACCACTGCTTCTTGTAGGAGGCCCCCTAAACATTTTCCGACTCCAGTAGCATTTCTCCATAAGTTGCAGCCTACACTTAAACCATCCTGTGATAAATTATTCAATGGACAACATTCAGAGAGACAACGTGTCAGAAATGCTCAAAAACATTTCCAGTTACCATCAGATGCTGAAATACTCCAGGCCTACAGTAAAGGAAATTGTAGCTTCGTACAAAATGACTTTGACAACAACTTTTATATTTCTCCAGATGAAATAGACTTCCCCATTGCTTACGAGATGCTAATATATTATCAGAAAAATCGTTTCCTACAAGCACTCAATTTATTGAAATTCATTTATAGACCTCACAACGTTTACTGTATACATATTGACAAGGGCTCTCCTCAATGGTGGATAAATGGTGTTAAAGGTTTTACGAGCTGTCTTCCTAATGTTTTTGTGGCTAAGAAACTTGTCAAGATATACTATGGAAGTGTTAGTATTCTGGATGCACATTTGAGTTGTCTCAGTGAACTACTGACAGTAACTACACCATGGAAGTATGTACTGACATTACATTCACCTGAAATACCATTGATAACTAATAGGGACATTGTAAAGAAGTTGGTTGAACTAAAAGGTCATAATATTGTCACTAAAGGTTTTAATGCTTCTGATCCTAAAAGTGGATATGCTTATAATTGGCTAATGG